GATATATTCAACTGGAATTCGCAAGGCTGCTTCTTCATTCGTGATGAACTGTTTCTTTTAATAAGAGATTGATAAACAATGACCATACGTCCGTAGAATACATCATCTTGTCAGCAATATTCATATCTTGCATACAGTTAATCAGATCAACGTGTCTTTCACGGTGTAGGTCGCTGTCATTTGTCGCACTGGTGTAAATATGCCAGCCAGCCGACTTGCCAACTTGTCGTAGAGGGTTGCACATGGATAGTATCGGTCTTAATGGTGTTTTAGGCTTGTGGATCTATGGCAGGTCGTATATTTGAGGTGTGCATGTACCCATTGACTTGAGGGAGTTGTACACGGTTTGCGATATCATACCGTGCTGAAATAAAAATTTTAGTTGGTTAATCAACTTCCTTACAATTTGCGTTACCGTGCTTCCACTTTTTTCCTCTTGAACTTTGCATTTAATATTCAGGATACCAAATATTTTGTTTTCGTAATCTGTTTTCTCCATACTCACAACTCCTATACCATTGTCTGGTTTCAAATCCAATGTATCTCTCACGGTAACGCTTTACTGCGACCGTGCACGAAGTCGACAAGCTTACCTTTAAGCCAGTTGTAGTGTTCCTGGGTCATCGGCGTCAAATTAGTCACTTGTCATTGCCGCAAGTGTGGAGATTGGTCAGTCTCTTCTCAGTGTGCTCAAAAATACACATCCCAACACCCGATTCACCTGTGGGCTAGAAGACAACTGTCTCAATTTTCTGGATGTATTGTTGATGAGACGACACGATGGTTCAATAAAACGCTCTGTTTACAGAAAAACCACATCAACTGACCTACATGAGAACTTCAACAGCTTCATACCAGGTCCAGTACAAGCGTTGCCTTGTCAAGACTTTGTTCGATCGAGCTCGTAAATCATTCAGTGCCGACTTCGTGGAGTCAGAGTTATCGTTTATCACAGACATTACGAGCCAATGGATATCCAGATATTCATCAGATTTCACAGTCGTCCGAAGGAAAGCAAACCGATAGCACTTACTGTGCTCAAAATGCCCGTCTATTTACAATTACCCTCCAAAGGCAATGTGATGACGGCGCAAATCGAAAGACGGGTAAATACTGCTATTCACCGTACATTCGACACTGCCTAGCTCTTTCCCATCTGGGCAACAAGGAAGCTGCCGATGCCTTCAATCAAACTTATTCAAACGGTCTCCGCCGCAACTCATTCCATTTATCAATCCGTCTGTAGCTGCACATGCGGTTACGTTGGCAGAATAGCGCTGTCGGAGTAAGCAGATTGGAGAGCATATTCCGAAGAGAATTACTAGGCTGCTGATACCACAATTAACGGGACAAGAAGCAGCAGGCAAACTGCCACCATCTTCCATCTCTATACCCCTTGCCAAGGTGACCCTGGCCCAAATTTTATGATTGTCTACCGAAACGAAAAAGCCAGGGTGATTAATTTTGCCGAGGCCCTGTCGCTTAATCGCTACCGTCCCGCTCTTTGTGTGCAAAAACAACTGACAGTAACCCTAAAGCTTCCTTAGGACTCATAACCTTTACCCCAGCACTGGCAGCCATTGTTTTGTGTCTATGAGTGTTTTCTAATCACCAATCAAAAACGATCGTTTTTTTCCTTCACGTAATCTATATAACTTGTTAGTTTGCAAGTGATCAGATAACACGAAATGGTATCATCTCTCAATGCTCATCTTATTGTTTTGTTCACACTGATACAGGGAACTCAGTGCTTCAAAAATCCGATGGTAACTGCTTCCAAAACTAGCCGGGTTCGCTCCACCAACCCATTCGAAGCGAAGGATGTCCCTACGTATGCATAGTTCTCTTGCTGCAGACAAATTGCACCCAAAGCTATTGATGTTGACCATCAGAAGCCTCGCTGAACCGTTGTCTCGCTTTTTCCAACTATGTCTATAGAACATGCATGTCCCGGTCATGTAGAAGCGAGGAGTTGTCACTTCCACTGACATGAGGAGCAATAGACCTGAACCAGCAAACTAGCGCCCGATAACTCTGTTCCCAATCCTTCCTAAGATCATAGGATCCGCTAGTGCAGTGGCCATTATGGAAGACTTGGAAAGAGTCAATATCACTGTACCGGAGCAACACAGTTTCCGCCGAGACCGATCATGTACCACGAACCTCTTGTTAGCCCGTGCCCGCTGCATGAAATCTGTCAACGCCGAGGAGGGAGCTGACGCTTTGTGACCCGATTTCTTGAAAGCGTTTGTGCGTCTAGACAACAACATGCTACTTCCCAAGCTTTTTAGCTGTGTACTCGCTGGTACCATGCTGCGCTGGTGATCCTGTCCTTGGGTGGATCAGAAATTACCTGCAGAACCGGCAACATCAGGTCCGAGTTCAAGGTACGTTATGCGATCCGGTTCATGTAGAGTGTGGTTCCATAACGACCAGGTCTGGAGCCGCCTGTGTTTCTCGTGTTCATTAACTGGCTTACGCGTTTGCTTGTCTCGGATTTTTTGTTGTTCGCTGACGACGTTAAGATGTAGCGAGTGGTTGCCGATTCAGGAGAACACGATGCAATTTAGTGAGACCTGAACAGGGCGTATGAATGGTCACTCGAAAAGCTGCTCCAGTATAATTCGTCTTCGTCTAAGGTTGTTCTCATTCGTTACCCTACGAACATCAAATACAAAATTGGAAACCATGTCCTGCAAGCAGTCACCAGGGAGCGCGACCGTGGGGCTGATCTGCGCTACTCAGAACAGTCTGAAATACCTGAAACCAACAAGTTAACAGGCTGCGGGAAGGTATTGACCGTTTGAACCATCCGTCTTTCCATAGTTTCTAAACCCATACGTGCAGCCTCACGTGGATTTCGCAATCCAGGACTAAAAAGATCTGACGAAATGAAGTTCTCTTAGCGCTCCAGACTCCACAGCGAAGAGCCGTCAAGCACGTCAAAGGGTTGTTTCACTTTTCATATCAATTTAGGCTGTTGACACAAAGACTATGTAACGGTTAGTATCAGCGCTTAGGTAGAGACCTATTAATGGCCTATCAGGCGTTAAGGGACCCTAAACACGTTGCTCGTTACCTACTGCAACTCAGTCACAAAATGAATGTGAGGAGTCACCAATTCAAGCTGGCCACGCAATACAGTCGGCTAGAATGTCGGCGAAACCGCTCCACTCTTTGTGTCATCCATGTAAGACTCCCCCAAATTACGTTGTTTCCACCCCCAACATTACCCGTGAAAAACCACACTGACGTTACCGTAACCCACCCACATTACCAAATATAGTATGTGTACATCGGGGGATGAGATAACGTGGCGGACATTGCACTGCATACAACCCAGACTGGCTCATTCTTGCACTCCTCTGTATGTAAACACTGTGGTGATTCCATCAAAACCATTTTCATTTTCAAGAGAGCAAGAAAGAACAGCATTTATGAGGGGTAACCTGAATTCAGATTATTTCGTGTCTTCTCATTCAGCCACTTACAGACAAATTGTGGAAAGGGTAAAGGAATGCAATTGAAAAAGGGGTCAATAGGAAAATCAATAAAACACTGAGCAAACCAAGCTCATTGCCTGCGTCTTACCAGGGCAAGGCAAGACTGGCCACAAAGTTTGCAAAGGTTTAGTTTCCATCGTCGGATGGCCGAGGCTTCAGCGAAACGAAGCAAGCTCACGTTGTTTTGTCTGCTGATAACCTTGAATGCGTCACGTGGGTTTTCGCACAAGATACAATCGAGCAGATGCTGAGCGATGGAGCTGGCAAGGAGTTTAGGTCCACTATTTGTCAGGTTCCGTGGAACATGTTCCATGATCCTAGTTGATAGCATTCTCTCGGTTCGGCCAATGTACAGGCTACTGCAAGCACAGGTGAATGGGTAACCACATGAGGCGGTAACCTGAGAGTGAGGCCTATCCAAGTTGGATTCATGGAACAGCTTCTTGGTTTGATGTAACAACACGAGCTTAGCTGCGTAGTTGCACCTTTTTATGGCTTGGCGTAATCGGTAGCACAATCTTCTGTCGTTCTGTTCCCCTTTGTATGGTAGCGTGATGAAGACCTTTTTCTTTGGGACATCCATTCGTGTCTCTTTCATAGCAATCTCATTCCCATACCTGGTGCTGAATTTATTAGGATGGCCATTATTGTGTAGGTTAGATTCGATGTATCGTAATTCACCCTCGATCGACTCTTCAGAGCATATTCAGTGTGCTCTAACAAAACAAGTTCGAACTAGGGATCGTTTATAGTTCATTGGACAGTAACTGTTGAAATGTAGGTATTGTCCGGTCCAGCTCGGTTTCCGATAAATCGATCTTATGAGTGAACCATCTGCTCTTCTTTTAAGTGAAACGTCAAGAAAATGACATGAATCCTCTGATTCACTTTCCATAGTGGACTTGATGTCTGTAAGCGGCTGAATGAGAAGACACGAAATAATCTGAATTCAGGTTATCCCGCATAAATGCTGTTCATTCTTGCTCTCTTGAAATTTCTGAAGGGAAATGGTTACATGAGATTTTCATTTTAGCGCAATGTATTCTGGCAAATCTACGAGATTTGTTAGGCTATTTCTTTTTCTACTCGTATTACACCATTGTTCCAAAATCACTTTTCTGTTTGTTGATAGACACTACGTCACCACAGACAGAAACTGTGATTCGCTGTGTGTCTTCAGAAAGTGTGCTATCTTAGTTTACACACGGGATTACACAAATGGATTTGGGACACGAATATCGAAGCTTGGTAATCGAAGTTAACTGGGATACCGTGTTCAAAGCCGAAGGGTTAATGCAACCGATCTTTACGTGCTTGCTAAACTTGGTGTAGGGTCTTGGCGATGGAACCGGACGTACCATTCACATGGAGTTGATTTCTCATCTCTATCCTTAATGTGTAATCAGCTATATCGATCTCATCCGTTTACGGTCGTCGTCATCAACAGATAAATGCTTCCCTGAGCTTTGATCGCCCCACTCTTCTTTTCTGATTGGGGGATCGTAAAGGTCGCTGGCTGGCGCCCTTATGAAAAATTGGCTCTGTTTTCAGAAGTGCGCGTTGTGGTTCGAAGCATAACTCATGGATCCGGCCTGCCATGGTGGGCACGTGTTTTGCTCGATAATGCGTGGTCGCTTTTCGCTACCAAATGGGCGAATTTATTCACACTGGCTTTCCTATCCTACAGGTAACATGCTCTAACTCCGATTTGTATGCAGAAGCACTATTTCATAACCAATTCTGGGCGTTTATCCGACTACGTTTGGTGGTTGATACTTGCGGAGCAGCGAAAACCCTCTTATTGGCTAGTCTTTCATTAGGGATCTCTTAGTAAACGGAACCGTCTTTACTACTTCAGAGACAATAGATATTCCATGGTACCTAACAGACAATGAGAAAGGTAATTATTATTGCTGTGGTAGCTGCGACATTTGCAGATCTGTATATCCATCAGATACCATGTGAGCCTTAAACCCTGAATTTGCTGAGTAGCTCGCCTTCATCTTGATACCAAACCTCGTGGGCTCATTTCCTCATTTTGTCTAGGTCCAATAACAATTAAATTTCTCTCAATCACTATGATCATGTTTACCTAACTCAGTTTTACCTGGTTGTTTCCCCCCACCCTTACGTTCTGGCTATTCCAACACTTCACATCAGGTGTAATCGCAATCTCTCACAACTTGGTCTCCAATTCTCTTCCAATCAGATAATTCTGGGTTTCCATTGCGACACGAAAGGCTATTCGTGGAAAGAGAAGATCGTAGAGATTGCCGACTACGGCTCGGGGCAGTTGTCTCCTCTCTCATCTGGATTTGCCAACAACGTCTTCTGTCCTTACTGCTGCGCTATTTCAACTCTTGTGACCCTGCTTTAGTGGGAGCTGAACTCGCCTCACGTGCCATATCCAGCTCAGTCGCTGTGGATCGGTGGTTGCATAATTCGCTGCACAATGCCCGATGGCCATCCAATCGGGGACGGGAGTTGGTAACGGGTTTGTGTATGCAATTGCGGTTCGACACACGATCTGCCACCATATTGCGAAAGTAAGTGTCCGATCATCACTAACTCAATGATTCTCATGCTATGTTGCGTTGATCTGTTTGCCAAAACTCACCCATTATGCACATATTCGATTCAAATTTGCTTCTTCCACAGTTGTACTACTACACTGGACCTGCGCTTTTATCGGCTGGTTTCGAATGATTTGCTGATTTGTCTTACCACCTGTTGGTCTTTTCTGACGGAGCTCAAATTAAATGGACATCACCATGGCCAGTTGTCCGTGCAGACAGTGGCAGGATTACACTGTATGTTTGTGCTTGCTTTATAATCTTTCTACGGTTTACTTTTACCTTGCCAGTTTGTTACACATCTCTCCTTTTTAAGATTTGTTTATCATGTTGTGTATTTGTCGTAGTTCATTAATCTGGTCACTTTCTGTGGTTACATCGAGGTGAATCGCTAGGACCTCAGTTGCTTTCGAAACTTTGACCATCGTTACACAGATGCTGAATGGTTAATAAGGGAATTCCTATGGTTTAATGTATGTGTTCACTGCTGTTGCTGACCAGTCCAACACTCAATGTACAGCATGCGGTGGTAGCACTTATACTTACTCAGTACTTATTAGAACGCCCTCGCTTGAATACAGCGTCATTAGCCAGGACGACCACTCGGTTCTTGTGCCGTGTATCACGCGGACAAGTGGGCGCTCGATTTCCCATCCAAGCGACTCGGGTAATTTAGTCGGCCAAAGGTTCTGTCTCACAATTTCGAGATCTACTCGGACACCACACGAGTGCTCGCAACTCCGGCGAGAGAGAGAGACAATAACCTTAAGCAAATCGCTAGTACCGCTCAAGCCAAAGGTTAACGCGGTCCGTACAGCCTGAGATCTATAGCACAGGTGGCGGCGTAGTTGCCACTTGATAATGGAAAGAAGGCGGTTATCAGAGGGACGCAATCACTACCATTGTAGTACTAAGGAGATCACGCAATCGGCGACGTTACAGCAGGGTCTCTTGAGTACGTCAGCGATAAGTGCCATCTGATAACGCGGTCACCGATAACGCACCACCTAACAGTCACATGGCAATAGGAATGGCCAAACTGGAGAACAGGAATGGCATCCGAGGCGAAGTTTTGTGGAACCATGAGGTGTTCACAACAACTTTCCCAGGAAGGTTCATGTTCTCGATGTGGTAATGAGGAGAGTGAATTTCTTAAGTCCACATTATTGCGGCTCGGCTGTGACGAATGGTAAATGTTTTAAAACTCGCTGCTGATTCGCCACACTTCGCAGAGATTAGCAGCACATAGGTGCTCTCCTGGTTGACCCAATTGTAGCAGAAATCGTGCCAGCTAGGGAACAAACTGGAAAAGTTTCCGTTGTGTGGATGGATTGCGACATGCAATCTCAATGTTGACCGCTATTCCCATTGAAGTGAACCTTGGTCTTTCGATCACGAGGACCGTCGCTGATGCAAATAGAAACTGGGTGTTGCCCTCCTTGATTCGATGCCTGCTAACTCTACCCGATGAGATGTAATAACATCAAAACGCGTCATAGTAGTGCAGTGTTTTCGGGCGAGCAACACCCAATTTCTATTTGGAAAGTTTCATTTTTGTCGGGGTATGTTTGCTGGTTACTGGGAGGCGGGGAAATGATTACCAAAGAAATGACCTATCCCTGTTGAGACGATCAAACAAGTTCACTGCCAGGTTATAATTGGCGGATGGAAAACGAAACTCCGACTGGATCCGCACTGTTACACGTCTGCTATACATTGCAGCAATATTTCTCCTTACTACACAAGTGCGCATGAAGAATATGACATAACATTTTTAATCAATGGAGAGTTGATTGCAGCAGCTTCCAAATCAGATAGTCTTCCATTTGCCCGGAAAAGCACTAGACACCGGTTTCGACCCGTTGGGCATTGTCGGTATTGCGCATCCATTGGCTTCACCGGGATCCGATCCCATGACGTCGAAGTGGCCATTCAGCAGCTTATGCCACCGGGCCATGGTGGATCATCAGGATTAAGCAAATTCCTCACCCACTCCAAATCGTTAAGCTGCAGTTGAAATTGGGCTGCTGGCCAATTTCGCAGGGAAGCAACATGAATAGCAATGCAGTGTATCGCAGCGCACGCACAGGTAGTGTGTTAGATTTTCATTGGTTGAATCGTGGCGCCCTGGTTTGCCAACTGTAAGGTGGAAGTGAACGTCATTTCCTTATCCCAAGCACACGTGTCATCTCTAGGTTAGTCATATATTCGTCTCAAGGCTGTGCCTATGCTCCATTGGTACTGAACCGTAAACGGCTGTACGATAATCAGGACAAGGCAAGGGCGCCCGTGCGAGCTACGGGAGCAAGACTGATGCATGAACATCGCAGCACAGAGTCCGGGATTTGTGCGAGCAAGCAGTACTAGTTGGACCCAATTACACGGTGGTCCCCGCCCCGATCACTTTTCATTGTTGCAACCGTCGATAGCCTCCCTTTTAGTGATAACCCCGGGTCCCTTTCCCCCGTTATTAAACCATAATAAAGGGTACATTCCTCGATAGTGCAAGATACAGAAAAACCAAGAGTCCGAGCTATATGTACGTATTCTCAAGAAATTTATCTTCGCCACTGCTATACATCTGAGGCGATGACTTCTCCATCTCTGTCTTTTGTTCACTTCAACACATAAACTGTATCCACTGCTGATCAATTCAGGCAGAACATTGTTGTAATTAGTGATATATTGCTTGTTCACTACGAATGCCCGGTACCTTCGCAGTTTCACTCATATATGGCGGGAACAACGTGTGAGAAATGAGCGTGTTCAATGCCTTGTGTATGGTGCAGGAAGAAGAAGCGAACCGCTCAGCACCGTTATTCCACGCTTTAGGCTGCGATGGCTGGGTCACCTGTTGCGCATGCCAGCCCACCGACTCTCGCAAGGTGCGTTATTTGCGTGCCAGGGGTGCGGATGGAAGAAGAGGAGGGATGGTCAAGCGCTGACCTGGGCAAGAGGTGGGCCTCGGTTGGGGCCTCTCGACTCCCTGGTTGGGGACCAAAGGACGATGAGCATGTTTGGCTGGGTACACTTGTTGACATGGCTAGACGCCGACCTCAATTGCGTTCGTGTTGTGAGTTTGTTTGTCCCTGGTAACTCAGCCGTCGTGTCACTGTTAGCTTTTTTGTATTGCAGCGCAATAGCTGCGGTATTTTCCACCCGCAGCTAACATGTACAATGACGTTGACAATGAAGAATGCCCGGTTTACTGACTGTTTCACTGTTATTCCCCTGCACAGCTCTAGAAAATCTTCGCTCACTCTTTTTGGATGGACTTCAGGCCGTTTGTGATGAGAACATTTGTGATATCCTCGGTGAGTCCCGACTTAAACCAAATATCATAACTTTGAATACTCGCCAGGTGTAGCTGTAGTGCCACCAACCGAGGCACCGCAGCACACCCCTGGCACAATGCCTAGAGGTAAGGTAAGTGTGACAGCGTCATTCCATCAATGTATTGTGCGATTTTCCATCGTGAAGGCATTGCATAACTTCCACTTGCAGGACTCAGTTTTCTTGTGAGCGCTCATTGCAATCCGAACTCCCTAGCACTGCTCCTTTGCACCCAGGTCTACGACATTTGCGTTTTCTCCACGTGTCAGCCACGCGGGTGACAGATGACGGATGGATTAAGGCCAACCGACTTTTAAACCCCTCTGGTTGCAGCCACCTACCTTTACTGGAGCTGAATGCATCCGATCTGGGCGCTTTTCTGACGAACTGGGGTTTGGTGGCAATTATCAACCTATTTCCTCGGCTCACACGTCTGCACTTAAGAAGAGCCCATGTAAGTGTCACCATAACGCTTATACGCATACTGACGAACACTATTTTCCGCAGATCACGGAGGATATGTCGTTGGCGCTTTCACGTTTGGAACGCCTCAGCTTTTTGGATGTAAGTTATTGCGAGCTGATACATTGCCTGCCTCATGTCCTGTTACCTCCCACCTTCTTGCTACATGAGCAATCTGGACTTACTGAGATACGTGTAGCAAATTGTACATTGCTGGATCTACCCTCCCTGTTATACCAGATTAAAGGTGAGTATTTCTTTTGATTTTCGTGATGGTTTTCGACTCCGTATTACTGGGAATCGGATAGACGAGTAACTGAACGTCACCACCGTACTAGCCCTCTGCACATTTTTGACGAGTGATTTAACGTTGTTGGCATAAATTGTCTCAAACGTTTAGTCTGCCTTCTACTACACGATGCGCTGTTATAGCAGTCGCTTTGGTATTAATTAGTACGCTCTCATGAGACCAACGCCTCCTGGAATCAAAGTAGAAAATTGATGTCGCACAACAAATCATATCAGGTGTTTGGTGATTCACCGAGATGGACAATTTAGTGTGGAAGAGACTACAGAAGCTTATGGTAGGCAACTTCATAATATGAAACCAGACCACCACTAATTCTACCCTGGTGACGTCAGTTCGAATGGCGACGAAACGTTCGCAACCAAATTGTTCACATTGGCGAACCAACCAACAACCGACCCAGGAGGCCACAGCTGTGAGAAAAACGCCGTTCGAAACTAGGTGCTTTTCCGTAAGAACTCGTTTCCTACTCCAATCTCGAGTGGAAAATGCGCCTTTGAAAACCACTGAGCCACAGATTCCACTTTTGCACTACCAGTCATTGAAGACGAGCTAATTCTATTCTGGACTTTTCGTGCGACCAGTCTCTCGCACCGTCGAGAAATCAAAATTCAACGACTGGAATAAATGAATGGAGATAAAGTTCTGGCATCATTACAAACCGCTGTACTGTGTTTGCAAAGTTCTACCAGTGGTCTCTCAGCGAAGCATTGTGGCTCAGATAAAACAAGAGTAGGCATAGGTGCTTAGGATAGTTGAGGCTCTGAATCACTAATATAAGATCACCCCACAGACGAGGATGCTGTTCTCTGAAAACTCCTTTGGCTCTTAGTCCAAAATGCCAAGTTAATTGGAACAATCCTACAACACTTTTTCGCCCTCCGCTGTGGATTATCAAGAGCAGCGAGGTGATGGATTTACCAGAGCTGCCGCACCTGGACGGCATATTTCACCTGTGACCTTGGGTAAACGTTGCAATTTTGGAAAAAGAAGCTAGGATATCATACACCAGACGATATCCGCAATTGTTGGCTAGGTTCTTTTAACTACTTGCTTGTCCTGTCTTGAGCATCCGAGATCCATCTGCGCGAGCATCCCAAGATTATTTTCAGTGGGAGTGAGATGCAAAAGGTGTGTACCAGCCGACATTCATACGTGCTCTGATTGCGTATGCTCAATACCTTGCATTTGATAGCGTTAAACCAGAGCATGTTCTGAACTGAACACTTGAGTGCCAAGTTAAGATCACCTTGAAGTTGTCACCTACTGGTTTGCTTGCCCGCCAACTTCTGAGCTCGTCCGTAAAGGGCAGAAAGTTCGACATGAATGTTCCCTCAAGTTCGTCTATGATCACTAGGAATAGCCGTGGTCGTAATAATGAGACCTGAGGGACGCCACAGTGGACCTCTATCGGATCAGACAGGGAGCCAGAAACTTCCAATTGTAATGTCGTTCGAGTAGGAATCAATATATCCAGCCCAGGATAGGGTCAGCGATCCCATAGCTCCGAAACTTGTGAAGAAGAACGCGGTGATCTATGTCACCAAAAGCATTCAACAAATCGAGATAGGCAACGTCAACTGCTTCACCAGCATAAACGGTTCGTGGTACATGAGCAGTTTCGACGGAAGCCGTACTTCTGTACAATCATGCTGCACTTTTCCATATATTCCATATGTGTTTCTGAAATGACAGATTCCATTAATTAAGCAAGCATCGAAAGAAGAGAAATTGGACGATAGTTTGCTACCACAATACGATTGGCCAGTTTTTAAACGGGAGTGCTTATTCCATACAATTGAAACCTGTAGCTCGTCGAGACAGCGCTGGAAAAATCGAGACAAGCTAAGCTATCCTTAATGACTTAGGGCGCATATTGTCCGAACAAGTTGAACTGTGCGCAGTGACACCAGTCACTTCAGCACATAGGTGGATGTGAAGATATCCCACTTAGTGTACACCTTCCTCGAGTTCAACTTGCCCGTGGGAGGGGAAGTGCATGATACATTGTTGTGTGACTTAGATTCTAGAATAGTTGGGATTGTAGGATAGGCGTTGGCATAGGTACATTGGTTTTTAAATCATTTTCGTATCTCACCAAGCAGTAGATGGTTTCTCACTAGTTGATTTTAGTTGTGCTTTTAATGTTTTAGTCCCAGTTAGCCTGCAAACAATGTAGCCTAGCCAACGTCCCCCATTGCTCAGTGCCTTAAGCTGTTGGTTAGCTGGCATCTGTCTCTAACGGTCATTGGTTCGATCCCCAGTAGGGGGCCGAGGGAATGCGCACCACTGACGAGCCCCA